CAGTGGGAGACTCGGCTGCCGCACACAAATCTCTGAGGTGAAGGATGGGGCAAGCCACCATCTCTACCCAATTTCATGCACAGTTAAGCTGGGAGATCCTTCACCATTTGGGCTTCTTGACTATGACACCGGTGTCACGCTTATTTATGTGTTGGGTTGTCTGTGTCACCCACAGCCTCTCACTCCCAGGAAAGGGAGGAAGGACCGAGTCCTCCACCTGGGCCAGGTGCTGGAGCAGAGCCAACCCCTGGGGCTGGGTTTGGGCAGTCCCTAGTGGCACCAGGGACATTTCAGGGGGTCCCTGGGGACCCCAGCCCATGCGATGTCTGGGGGAGGTTTGAGCAGGGGCTGACATGCTGGCGATGGAGACTCTGCTCACAGGCGCCTGCAAAGGAGGAGATATTTATTTATAACTTTTTCTTAAAAAAAAAATAATTGGGGGGGGGAAGGTGAAGAGGCAGCTCCTAGGAAAAGGTAGGGAGTTATTTAGAGTCTCCTGCCAGCAGCAGATCCTGCCAGCCACAGGTATAAACCCAATCACAAAGCCCCAGTAATTGAGCTGCAGCCCTGAGCTGCAGGAACCCCGTGGATAATAGCTGGATGCTGCAGCAGGAGCTGGATTTCTGACAGATTATGAGGTGTCCCCTCCACCCCCAGCACTGCCTCGTTGGCCTGCCTTGATCTGCATAACCTCGTTAGCATGGAGCTATTTGCAGGCTCCTGCCAGCCACAGGTATAAACCCAATCACAAAGCCCCAGTAATTGAGCTGCAGCCCTGAGCTGTGGGAATGCTGTGGGTAATAGCTGGATGCTGCAGCAGGAGCTGGATTTCCAACAGATTATGAGGCGTCCCCTCCACCCCCAGCACTGCCTTGCTGGCCTGCCTTGATCTGCATAACCTCGTTAGCAGGGGTGTGATGGGGTGAGAGGGGAGCGCCTGCACCCCGTGAAGCTGTTGGGGTGCTCCTGAACCATCACACGGGTGTAGAGGGACGTTGTAGCATCCCTGCCCACCCCTGGCACTGCCTGCACCCCCCTTGGGATGGGGCTGCTGATGGATCCGGTGTGTTTGGCTGCAGTTTTGGTGCCAGACGGTGTGTTCTGGGGCATGTTTGTGCCCCACACCTGGGCAGTAGGTGGCCGTCCTCACCAGCGTTGCAAGGGATGCTGCAGACCCGGTCTGCTAAAAGTGGGGTGCAGAGAGGGTGGGGAATTTATCCTGAAAAATAAAGGGCATCCAGCCTGAGCCCAGAAGGGGCACGCAATGGTGGGGACGAGGATAATAAGGGAAATTAATGGCAGATTGGTGACTGCCATCTGTTGGGTGCTGCTCTCAATAACACGGGGTGACTGCAGGGCACCCAGCCACAGGCATCTCCCGGGGGCTGAGGCTGTGCCAGATGCCTCCCAGGGACCCATGCCCCATCCATGGCTGCTCACAGTGCTGAGCCACCTGCAGGAATGATTTGCCTTTTTTTTTTATTTTTTTTTCTCCCCTAAAAGCTGTGCATGGGTCAGAGCCTTGGAGGATGCTGTCACCGAGGAGGCTGCAGGGGAGGAAGGCTTTGGCAGCGGGAGGGAGCTCCCCTCGCTCACATTACACAGTATTTAATTACCTGCTGAAAGGTTCACAGGGTTCCTAGGAGAGGTCAGACAGGGCAGAAGGACAGACAGCCACTCGGGGAGGAGGTGAGGGGGACACGTAGAATTAGCAGAGGCAGAGGAGGAGCCCAGGACACCTTTCGGGGACAGGGAGGACCCCAGAGCCAGCAGCCACCGATGCTTTTGGGCTCAGGGTTCGGGGCAGCTAAAGAGCTGGGGCAGGAACAGCTGGAACATCTGGGCTTGCCAGTCCCTGCCCTGGGATGGGTTTGGGGGCAGCAAAGTGCATGGGATGGGGGGAGCTGGGCAGCTCGTGTCCCCCCAGAATCCAGTGCCATTGCCCCTCGGTCCAGCAATGTGATTCTCCTGGAGCAGGGATGCTCCTCACCTTGCCAGTCCCTGCCCTGGGATGGGTTTGGGGGCAGCAAAGTGCATGGGATGGGGGGAGCTAGGCAGCTCGTGTCCCCCCAGAACCCAGTGCCATTGCCCCTCGGTCCAGCAACGTGATTCTCCTGGAGCAGGGATGCTCCTCACTAATTTTTGTGGCTGGATCTTGCAAACCCATCTATTATTTCTGCAAACAGCTTTCAAAAAAAAAAAAAAAAAAAACAGCGGGAATTAGAAGCCCGAGGGAGTTGTTTTTTTTTTTAAAAAAGGACATTGGATGCTTTTATTAAAGGATCCTTTTTAAATATGTTTTTATAAAAAAAAAAAAAAAAAAAAAAAAGAAGTGTAATAAACCAAACCAGAAGCATTTTCACACCCTGTCAAGGTCAGAGTGGAGGGAAAGGGAGAGGGGGGAAAAAAAAAAAAAAAAAAAAAAAAAAAAAAAAAAAGTGA